ACAAACTGTAACTCTTGTTTATCACACTAATCGACAATAGTTAATAACCTGTAAGAAAGAGATGGTATTATTAAATGTTCTGGCCTTTTAAAGAACAATTTTCGGCAATAGTACAGAGATTTTCTGTGGTAAAACGTTTATCTGATTGGCTGATCTGGGATGAAAGGACTTCTTGACTCATCCATTACTTGCCATGCATATTACGTATTCTACACGTTTTAAGGCAATTATTTATGCTACTTATAAGTAGATTGAGCTTTACTTTTAAATTTGTGAATTGACTAACATTTGTTCATTCCATGAAATCTTTATATTCTGATTATTTGAGATAAAACTAACACGTTTATATTTCAACTATTAAGGAAGAAAACAAATCAAAGTAACTATTTCATTTGAAACTTTGTCGCTTTATATAATACATATGAATATAAATAAATTATAGTGATTGTATAGAACTGGAGGTTGTGTAACAGAGATTTTACAGTTAATAAACAGAATATCTGAATTAAGTAGTCTATGGGTTCTTAGTCAATAGCCTAAAATAAAAATGCAGTAACGAGGGAAATTCAGTGGGAAATGTTGAGAGAACTAATAGCTTGAGTACACAAAAAAATGTACACGCTGTTGATTCATACACCAATATTGATCTTAAAAATGAACAGCTTTCCGTTTGGATGTTTTTGCGAGATCTTATAACTGATGGGGAGAACGCTATACAGATATAGTTTAAAATACTCAATCGAAATAATGTTCTTACCAACAACCGAGATGTGGAAATAAAGTTGCGGTATTTTCAAGTGTAATTTCTTATTCATCGTAATGCCAGAAACAGCTTACTATTTGATAAGTCTACAGTTGTTAACCAGTGATTCGGTTAAGCATATAGACGATTTTGTAGTAAACTTTCTCTTAGGATTGCTTCTCGGGACCTTTTTGTTATAATTTATAGAGAAATATCAAGTTTTAATCACTTAATTTATTTATTTGAACACATGAATATTGGTACAAGAGAGCGCCAATATATATGCGCCACACAAAACAATGAGAATTCGACGAGAAATAAGGAAAAAAAAGTGAGGAGCGTGAAAAGAAAGAGAACAGTAACGAAGAGATTGGTGTAAGGTAGTGTGGTAGTAATGAGGGAACGGAAAGGTAAAATCAGAAGAAATCTTTCAGGTAAGGGAGACAACCACTTTTTATGAAGATAGTAAAAGAAGGTTACAGCAGGATCGCCACTGGTTTCTATTCTGAGCCATCTCTGATAACGTCTCTAGCCACTGTGTAGCACCATCTCTCAGACCCCAACCAGGGAGTCGTGAAGGACCAACAGAAGCCAGTCCTTTGCAGCTTTCTTTCATGCCACGACACCATGTCATGCACTGACCACCTCTCCGCTTCTTCCAACCAGTCCCAGAGTCGGCAAATAATGCACGACGTGGAATTCTCTGGGACGACATTCGGAGAACATGTCCAAGCCATCGAAGTCGGTGTTTCAAAATGGTGACACCAATCGCATTATCGTCTCTGTGCCCGAACACACGATGCCGAACCTCTGCATTACTAACATGGTGTTGCCGTTGGATGTCAGCAATTCTTCGGAGACAACGACGATCGAACACATAGGTAGCTTAAACCAAACAGAAAGGCATTTAGGTGGATATTTTAGCATTCCGGCACAGCGAACAGATAATGGTGACCGTCTGCTGCAACTGTGCTCAGACAATCGCTTATTTTTAGCAAACACAAATTTTAAGCATAAATAGAGACATCGTCTAACGTGGCGACCGCCTGCACCAAACCAGCGATGGACTCAAATAGACCATATTGCCATCAGTCATCGTTGGAGAGGGTCGGTAGAAGATTGTCGCTCATTCTGGAGTACCTGCTTGGACTCCGAGCACGCCCTAATACGGGCACGCATCTGCTTGCGCCTCACTGGACGCAAAAAAGCCACAGTAAAAAGACCCATTAGAACCGAACTGAGGTCACGATTAGGTAGTTCTGAAGACGAGGCTGACCCAGCTGTTGCTTGGAAAGCCATACAAACAGCTGTGGAAACAGCAGTGACATCTATCAGTGATTTAAACCACAGGGTTACAAAGAACCAGTGGATTTCTTCAAAGTCTATCACACTGATGGATTCTCGCAAACTCGTCCCATCAGGTTCCGAACATGAGGAAGAGCGACAACAAATCAGATCCAAGTTAAGAAAAAGTCTAAGAAACGACCGTGAGCAGTGGTGGGCAACGAAAGCAAAAGAGATGGAAAAGGCGGCGACTATAGGGAACACAAGACAGCTTTACAGACTAATAAAAGAAACTGGAATTAATAAGTCAAGTGTTAGTCAGACTATTTCGGAAAAAGACGACACCCTCATCTGCTGTCAGTCCAGACGTTTAGAACGATGGGCGGAACATTTCAGAGAACAGTTCAACTGGCCTTCAGCTACTCTACAACTACCCTCCATTCCCAGACAGTGTGAATGGAACATTGAAGTAGGTCCCCCAACTCTTGCTGAAGTTCAAAAGGCTATAGTTAATCTGAAACGAGGAAGGGCAGCTGGTCCAGATGTCTTTAAGGATGGTGGTCCAATTTTAGCGATTAGGTTGACTAATATTTTAGCTAGGATCTGGGAGTTAGACGTTATTCCATCTAACTGGTCACAATCACTTATCGTCCCAATATATAAGAAAGGGTCAAAATCATCCTGTGACAACCACAGAGGGATTAGTTTAATATAATATCTAAAATACTAGCTTCGATAATTATCAGACGCCTAACTAAGACTCGTGAACTGCAAACACGAGAGACTCAAGCTGGCTTCAGACCTGGTCGTGGCTGCATCGACCACATATTCACCATTCGTCAGGTTCTAGAACACAGGCATACTTATCGGCGTCCGACAATGGTGGTCTTTCTCGACTTAAAAGCAGCATTTGACTCGGTAGACCGCGAGATTCTGTGGCAGTGTCTGTCATTGAAAGGCGTACCACAGAAGTACATAAACCTTGTGAAGGCTCTTTACTCGAACACTACTAGTCGAGTCAGAGCTTATGGCGAACTGTCATCTACTTTTGCAACCTGAAGTGGTGTCCGTCAAGGCTGTCCACTTTCCCCATTTTTGTTTAACTTCATCATAGATCTACTGATGGAAATAACTTTCTCGTCGACTGAGTTCTCGGGTATTGATCTCCTACCAGGAGGTCCACTTATCGACTTAGAATACGCAGATGACATAGTCCTGTTTGGTGAAGACGCTGACAAAATGCAGAGTCTTTTGGTAGCACTAAGCAACAATGCCATAATGTTTGGAATGCGCTTCTCTCCCTCTAAATGCAAGTTGTTGCTTCAGGACTGGTCTGCGTCAACACCTGAACTAAGGATAGGGAGTGAAGTAGTCGAACGCGTTGACAACTTCACTTATATTGGAAGTCTGATCAGCCCTAATGGGTTGGTGTCTGACGAGATCTCATCACGGATTCGAAAAGCTCGTTTGGCTTTTGCCATCTTACGTCACCTATGGCGAAGGCGAGATATCCGTCTATCAATAAAAGGACGGGTATACTGTGCGGCAGTTCGTTCTGTTTTACTTTACGGCAGCGAAACATGGCCATTAAGAGTAGAAGATGTTCGTAAGCTACTAGTATTTGACCACAGATGCCTTAGAAATATTGCTGGTGTCTGCTGGGATCACAGGGTAAGTAATAGTGAGGTTAGACGCAGGGTATTAAGGAATGATGGTAAATCAGTTGATGAGGTTATGAATGTTCATCGACTGAGATGGTTGGGCCACGTGTTACGTATGCCTGAACACCGACTACCACGACGTGCAATGCTATCCGGTATTGGAGATGGTTGGAAGAAAGTTAGGGGTGGCCAAACCAAAACGTGACATCAGTGCTTGAAGACACTAACTTCTAGTCTGAGCCATGTTGGTAGATGCAGACTACTTGGTTGGGGTCCGCGTGACTATCGTAACCAATGGTTGGAGACTTGGTGACATGGCTCAGAATCGATCACAATGGCGTCGGTGTATACACTCCCTGTCTTCCCTTAAACTAAGAGATTAAAATCACTTCATATCTTTCCTTCTACGAACCAATTCTTTCTTCTTGTACTATATCTCTATATGCAATCTTTCTCTTACATATTACCACCTTTGACCTAACCACTGCTGTGAATCCGGTGTTCATCTTGTTGTGCTGATGCGGTATGGCAACCTGGACCGATGCATATATGTGCCTGGTCCTACGTTGTAGCTGACTGACTGAATATCATAGTTTGGGGGAAGACAAAAAGTGTATACACCCACGCCGATGTGATCGACTCTGAGCTATGTCACCCAGTCTCTAACCACTGATTACAATAGTCACGCGAACCCCGACAAGTAACCTGCATATACCAACATAACTACAACTAGAAGTTAGTGACTTCAATGACTGATGCCACATTTTGGTTTAACCACCTCTAACTTTCTTCCAACCATCACCAACACTAATCAGCATTGCACGTCGTGGTAATCGGTGTTCAGGGATACGTAACACGTGGCCCAACCATCTCAGTCGATGAACATTCACAAACTCATCAACTGATTTACCATCATTCCCCAATACCCTGAGTCTAACCCCACTATTACTTACCCGGTGATCCCAGCAGATGCGAGCGATATTTTGAAGACATCTGTGATCAAATACTAGTAGCTTACGAACATCTTCTACTCTTAATGGCCATGTTTCGCTGCCGTAAAGTAGAACAGAACCGCCGCGCAGTATTCTCATCCCTTAATTGATAGACTGGTATCTCACCTTCGCCATAGGTGACGTAAGTTGGCAAGAGCCAAACGAGCTTTCTGAATCCGTACAGACTTCGTCAGACATCAGTCCATTAGGGCTGACTACCAAGATAAGTGAGGTTGTCGACGCGTTCGACTACTTCACTGACTATCCTTAGTTCAGTATACTCGTCTTCACCAAACTGGACTAAATCATCTACGTATTCTAAGTCGATAAGTGGACCTCCTGGTAAGAGATCAATGCCCGAAAATTCAGTCGACGAGAGCATCACTTCCATCAGTATATTTATGATAAGGTTAAACAAAAATGGAGAAAGTGGGCTTTTCGGTTTAGGTAGCTTAATTTTAGACAGAATACGCAATTGCATGTTAGTTTGTTAGAGATAATTTCAAATATGTTGATCAAATAGGTGCCCTTCCCACGTGTCTGTAGTTTTTGCACGAAATAAATAGTGTGGATAAGTACAACCATCCCAACGTTGATTGAAATCCTGAAAGGATTTAGAACACTTTCTTTGACTAGGGATTGATGAGAAAAATGGTCTGTTTTAACCAGTGTTTGCAAAGTAGTTAAAAAAATTCCAGATGGTCAGTAGTCAGTGAAGTTTTGAGACAAAAAACAACTTTCCTCGACTTTAAACATATTTAGCCGTTCCTTAAACAAGTAAACAGCGACCTTTGTCCTGACGGTAAAATGCACCCCCTGGAACGCAACTGCTCTTTGATATTTTCCGAAGTATATATCCAATTTTTTACAGAAATACAAAACTAAAAAAAGCCGTAATTGAAAGGGAAGTATTCAATGGAGAACAGGAAAAACTAGACTGGCAAATCCAAGACTTAGTACTTTTTATTTGTGTGCAAAGTGGGTTTATCTTTAAATGAACACGAAGAAATAAACATACATGGGAATGTGAGTATTTGTATCTTAAAATGTAGGATTTGCTGACAGAGACATGTTTACTACCGAATTCAGAGAAAAGCATCTTCTGAAAACCAAGGTTATCATTAATTTTCCGCTTACAAAAAAGGTAAAATGTAGAAAACAGTGCTCAGACAACATTTGGTCGGCGGATATTCGAAGCCGGATCTTATCATTGATTTAAATTATTATGAAAATAGAATTAGGTAAAAGGAGTTCGACGTGCAGCATTCGGATATCATTATTGGATAGGAATCATCCTAAGACCAACTTGAAAACAATCATCGCGATATTAACACCTATCAGTGGTACTAAGGTCATTTACGATTATGAACAGCTTGATATTACCTCTCATTACAGTCCGAACAGAGTGGATAAACGTTAAAAATTGGTACTTCACAGTTGTAGGAGGACTGTACTCGTTATCTGTCCGGCCACATCCAACTAGAAATGTGATTAAAATATGAGTGTACTCACTTTTAGACAGAAATCTTTTCTCGTGGAGGATACAAATTGCATTAAGAATAAGAACTAAAGACTCAAGCAAACTGAAAAGACCGAGAGCCATGTAAGCATAAGTAAATGTGCCGTGTGATGACCTTTGACAATCGAATGACGTGATGATTCAGAACTTTAAACTTTCAATGCCGATAATCCTTGTTATGAACTTATTTAAGTCTAGAAACTTGTTATAATTTAAGAATTTTCGTATGTTTTGTCAATTATGATGCTATAACTACTGTAGCGGTCTTTCTATTAAAATACCTCGATCCACGATAGCCTATCAAATATATCTTCGAACCTCCTCGCTTCTGTCTTTTGATTTCACTCGGTGGGTACGATTCGTATTAGGTGTTACTGGTTAAAGCGTTGTCAAACCCCAAATACCTGTGGCATCTTCATTGGTGAACCCGACGTGATCTGGTACACTAAATTGCAAACTGTGGGTCTGTTCCCTTTTGAGGCTTCATATATTATTACTTTGTTCTAGTTTTTATGTATTGTGATTTTTTCCGTGTTTCTGATATATATATTTCACTCCTTCATTCTCGTGCTTGATATTTCACCATGACGGAACAGACACCCAAGGTACTTAAGTTAAAGACTATGTCCCCACCTTCGTTTCAACTAATGTCCTTCTGGCCAGACAACACCGAAGACTGGTTCTGTTATGCAGAGGTCAACTTCCACGAGCACGGCGTGGTTGACACACGTGCACAATTCTTCTTAGTAGTCAAGGCACTACCGCGCGAATTCAGCAGGTACGTAACACCTAACATGTTTACTAGTGATGTTTCGGAACCCTAAGAAACACTTAAACAGTCTATCCTTCAACGCGGAGATCTAACCGATCGACAAAGGTTAAACCAACTCATTAATAATGTCGATCTGCAGCAGACATGTTGCAGAGAATGAAAGAGGTTATCGGTCAAAGAACCTTCGATGATAACTTATTCAGACTACTTTTCTTACCTAAACTTACTCAGCAGGTGCAAGCTGTGCTGGTCTCGTTCCAAAACAATGCTGTACATGAGCTGGCTTCATCTGCCGGCCACATCCTAGAAATCACGAAATCTTCTAATGCCGAGGTTTTTTCAGTCAAAGAAAAACTTCAAATGCCCCAGAATGACATCACGGAATTATGTCATACGCTTACACGTTATCCTGGACGTCGTAATGACCGTAAATATTCGCTTGCCCTGTGAACAAGCACTTCACGTAAGCGATATAACTCTAGATCACGAGAGACGGATAACCTCGACTGGTGCTGGTATCATAACCAGCACAAAAAATCTCGAAATTTCAGAAAACCCTGCAATTTTCCGAACTCATAATCGACCAACACAAAATACAATTCGGGAAACTTCCCAGCCGGGACGCGTTAAAGGCAAGAGTAGCCGGCGAAAACAGCAGTCTGTTATACGTCACAGATGCCTTAACGAAAGTTCGCTACCTCATCGATACTGACTCAGAATTTAGCGTATTTCCAGCAAATTCTAACGACCGGCTTCCCGGATCTGTTTTAAACTAACAGGCGGCAAATGGGAAGCCAATCACCACATATGGTAAATAGTACGTTTACCTAAACGTGGGTTTACGCAAACTCATTCACTGGATCTTCGTCGATGCAGATGTTTCTATGCCGATCACTGGTATAGACCTCCTACAACACCACAATCTTCTCATCGACACGCACAAACGGAGGCTAGTATACGAAAACACTAATTTATCTGTTCGCGTAACTTCTTTTTCCGGTTGCAGAGTATCTCCTGTCATAATTAGGAACACCATAGACCCATTTTATTAACCATTACTTGATAAGTATTCTGGGGTATACCAACTGCAATTGAAATTGCCGTGTGCAACCACCAATGTTACACATCACAACACGACTACAGGACCTCCTGTATTCTCGAAAGCGCACCAACTGGCCCCCGAAAAGCCTAGGTTGGCCAAAAACAAATTCGATCAAATGATAGACTTGGGTATCATAAGACCGTCAAATAACCCATGGGCATCTTCGTTGCACATGGTCCTTGAAAAGGACAGCAACAGTTGGCGTCCAACTGGTGACTATCAGCGATTGAATGCGAAAACCATTCCAGATCGTTACTCGTTAACCCACATTCACGGTTTGACAGCTACCTTGAAAGGTACAACTGTCTTTTCGAAAATGGACTTGGTTAAAGTTTATAACCAAATTCCCATGACCACTGACGACATTCCAAAAGCCGCTATCATTACTCCTTTCGGTCTTTACAAACTTCTGCAGATGCCTTTCGGCCAAAGAAATGCTGCCCGAACATTCCAAAGGTTCATTGATGACGTTTTTTTGGTTTCAACTTCGTACATGCGTATGCTGATGACTGCCTAATAGCAAGTCCGGACAGAGAATCGCATCTCCAGCATCTGGATCTTGTTTTCGAACGACTGCAAATACAAAGCATTACTGTAAACATTCGGAAGTGCCAAATCGGAACCGACTCCTTAGATTTTCTAGGACACACTATTAATGCTCAAGGCATCTGGCCTCCCAGTATATGCATCCGAATCAGCAATCGGAGGAGTCTTACAAAAGTAGTTCACCACTCCTGACAACCATTAGCATTTTTCTCGAGACGGCTGTTAGACACCGAATCCAGGTGTAGTACATTCGGTAGGAAACTTCTAGCTATGTATTGTGCTGCACGGCATTTTCAAAACTTTATCGAAGGCCGTGAATTCACCCTTTTTACTGATCACAAACCTCTTAATTTCTCTTTGAGCTCATCGTCAGACAAGCACTTACCTCGAGAGTTTCGACAACCTGACTACATTTTGCAGTTTACATCAGGCATTCAACACATTTCTGGAGCAAACAATGTGGTTGTAGACGCCTTGTTTCGCATAGCTTTCTTGAACAGTTTCCAAGAAATCGACTTTCTTAAACTCGCCCATCTTCAAAAAGAAGACATTGATCTTCAGCACAAGTTATCCTCAACAACCCTTAAGCTGCGCATTAAACAGATGGGAATAGGTAAGGAAACCTTACTACGTGACACATCTAAAGGTAAGGATCGTCCAGTCGTGCCGGAACATTATCGACACAATGTCTTCAATACGTTGCGCAAACTTTCTCATCCATATGTTCGCGCAACCATCAAGCTTATAGCAGAGCGGTTTTGTTGGCCTGGCATGAATAAAGACGTGAGAGAGTGGGCACGCTCCTGTGTAAGCTGCCAGAAATCTAAGGTGAACAGACAACAAATGTTCTTTAGGTTCGTTCAAAACTCCTGATGCTCAATTCGACCATGTTCATCTAGATTTGGTAGAACCTTTAACAGATTCAAATGGATACTCTTATCTCTTAACCTGCGTAGACCGTTTCGCTCAATGGCCAGAAGCATTACCCATTAAGGATATTACTACTGAAGCAATGGCCCGCACCTTCATTGAACAATGGGTAGCAAACTTAGGCAGCTTTTCAACCATCACTACAGATCGCGGACGCCAGTTCGGATCTGGATTTTTCCGTTGTCAGACCACACTATTAAGAATCACTCACTTCCGAACGACCGCCTAACACCCACAAGCAAGCGGGTTGGCAAAGCGCTTTCACTGACAACTAAAAGTTTCATTATCAGCTGCAAACATTTCTCAGTGGACTGACGCTCGTCCACTCGTGTTACTAGGTATTCGCAATACAGTGAAAGCTAACATTGGATACACTGCAGCTCAACACGTTTGTGGAACGACACTTAGACTTCCAGGAGAAATTGTAGATCCTCAATCTGTTTCAATGAATGTGGATCTAACCTCTTAAACGAGTAGGCTTACAAACGCAATACGGCCAGTTAAACCTGTCTACACACGACCGCAGTCAACTGATGCTTTTGTTCAACCTGACTTACGATATAATACACATGTCTTTGTACGTCGAGACTCGCATTGACGACCTCTCGAATCAGCATACGAAGGACCCTTCAAAGCTCTTCAGCGCGAACCCAAGTACTATATAGTCTATAAGAATGGAACCAACGATAGTATCAGCATTGATCGCCTCAAAGCAGCGTATTTAGAAGGAAATCCTATTCACGTCGATTTTCCTTCAGTACAATCGAACGACATGGCTCCTGCACTTATAATACCTCATCCGACAGCCAAAACGCACGTTGATACCTCGGCAGTATCTGAAAACAAACTTAAAACAACGTGTTCTGGCAGAAGAGTAAGATTTCCAGAGCATGCTTTTCCTGGCTAGGGATTGAATGCAACTGCAGCAAGTGTTATCACAATGTGTGCACCCGAATCATACCGGCTGCATATAAAAAATGCTGCAAGCCACTATCACGTTGATTGTGCAAGGCATGCTGTTCTACAAAGTCTCCACTGATTCTTGAGGCGACTGAGCTACTGAACACAACTAAGCAGACGCCCTCAGATAAACAAACAGCAGCAGATGAACAGTTTTCAGCTTTAAAGAAACAGCGAGTGATAACATGAGTCCAGCTTTAGATTTGAATGAAACTTATCAAGATGAACCCTAATGGCGTAGCGGATAAAAAAACTCACAGATGTAGGGATGGTTGCCAGAAAAAAAAACATGCAGAGAAGGAAAGAATTATTGGAAGCCCTGAGATAAGTGAGTCAACGGTTTCAGCTCTGGATCCATTCAACCCAAAACAGACTATTGAGGAGCAAAGCCTGATCATTGTAGACGATGAGATCAAAAGTCACAATAAGGATGATGACTGGATTACAATTACGTCCAGAAAATGGAAGGTAGGAAAAAAGAGTGAAACCTTTGCGTCTGACGCCAGATTGAACTGCACGGATGAAATTTAAGGATACAAAACTCCATAGCTCGTTAAGATGGGCCTCGTCGACGGGTCAGTCATTTTTTCATAAGCTAAGAGAATCTTCCGAAAAGAACTCAGAGACTGGATTCGAACATGATCTAGGCCACATTAAGCCCCTGACAAACAAGCTGTTTTCAGAAACACTATCAGGATTTAGCATCTATAATCTTAATAGAATAGGAAAAAAAGTGGGCTCTGAAAGCATGCAGAAAGGCCTCCTCTTAAAAGCCACCTTTGTTTCTGCTGAAGAAAGAGACCTGTTACTAGAAAACTCACGCAAACTGATCGGAT